ATACTGCCTCTTATTACCTGATTCTTCTTTTTCTTTTTAAAGAATTATTTGATTTCAAAAATTTCAAAGCCATGGAACAGTTAAAGGACAATGATGAACACTGAATACCTCTTACCCAGATTTATCAACTATTAAAATTTTGCCACATTCTTCCTGCCACTCTCGCTCCTTCTCCCTCCTACTACATACCTCCCTTTTGCCAAACATCCAAAAAAGTAGGCTGCAGTCATCATAAATTTAACCCCTAAATACTTTGACATGTGTCTCTAGAAACAAGGACATTTTTACGCAATCATAATATCTGAACCTCACCTAAGAAAATCAACATTAATTTAATAGCATTATACGTACAGAGTCAGATATTTTCAGCAAGAACATCATGTGGGTGACACTGTGTATATCTCTCACTTGATGTCAGATGATACAAATGGTACATACATAAGGGACTTGCTGTTGAATGTTCTGCTCCTGAAGAGATGATAGCATATTAGAAACTTAGTGACTCTTGATAAAGATGTATACTGTACTGTAAAGAGGCTGTTCAATAAAAGCTAATAATATTTTTAAGGCCTACCCGCCTCATACCCTTTTACTTTTATTCCCATAGCTAAATCTGGGTTGGTTGGTTGGCTTTTTGCAGACCAGTAGTTGTGAAGCATCCAAGCTAACTTGTTAGCTATTGTTTTCTTTCTTAATATAGATATTTGGGGGTCAGTCTGAATTTAGACACCCTCTCTGTCATATACTAACAGAAACTCATCCTTTGTAAGTCAATTCATGTGTTTGTTAAGATGCCTGAAGATTAACCTCTGCTCTTTAGCCAAGGACATAAACTGCTGCTAAAAGGAATTTTTGTTTCTGAAATTGCTCTAAAATGTAGCTTTTCTTTTCACTTTTTTTGAGGTGAAATTCACGTAACATAAAATTAAGCATTTTAAAGTGAACAATGCAGTGGCATTTAGTGTCTTCACAATGATGCGTAACCACCACCTCTATCTAGTTCCAAACATTTTCACCACAAATGTTTTTACTACTGCCTCTTATTTCTCCCTCTCCTAGGCCTGTACATTTTTTTTTTTTTTTTTTTTTTGAGATATAGTATGTCTCTGTCGCCCAGTCTGGAGTGCAACGGTGTGATCTTGGCTCACTGCAGCCTCCACCTCCCAGCTTCAAGGGATTCTTTTGCCTCAGCCTCTGAGTAGCTGGGATTACAGGCACATGCCACTATGCCTGGCTAAGTTTTACATTTTTAGTAGAGACAGGGTTTCACCATGTTGGCCAGGCTGGTCTCAAACTGCTGACCTCAGGTTATTTGCCCACCTCGGCCTCCTAAAGTGCTGGGATTACAGGTGTGAGCCACTGTGCCCAGCCCAGCCCTGCCCTATACTTTTTAATGTGATTTTTTCCCCCTCTATTTTAAGATATTTTTAAAATAGAGACATACAGAAAATAAGCTATTTATATTTCTACTACCTAGAATTGATCAACATTCGTCATTTTCACTTGAAAAAAATGTTTATTTTGAAAATGGTATTCAAAAAACTACATTCCAAATGAAGCTGAAGTACACCTTTGCACCCCATCTGCCGTCCCATTCCCTTTCTTCTCCCAGTCTTTAGGCAACATTTCCAGTGAATTTAGTGTATATTCTTTTAGTCTATTTATTATACCTAGGTTTATGAAAAATATGTAGTACCGTTTTGTAAATTTACTTATATGGTATATTGCATATATGCAGCTTGCTTTCTTGCTTTGTACTAGGCATTTTTACTGATTTATCTTTGTTGATATATGGAAGTAGTCTATTTTTGACTGCTGTGTACTATTCCATCACATCAAACCACTTTTTTTTTTTTTTTTTTTTTTTTTTGAGACAGGGTCTCATGGTCACCCAGGCTGGAGGGCAGTGGTGTGATCATGGCTCACTGCAGCCTCAACCTCAGTAGCTCAAGCAGTCCTCCCATGACAGACTCCCCAGTAGCTGGGACTACCAGCATGTGCCACCACACCCAGCTAGTTTTTAAATTTTTTTTGTAGACATAAGGTCTTGCTCTGTTGCCCAAGCTGGTCTCAAATTCCTGCGCTTAGGTGATCCTCCTGCCTCAGCCTCCCTAAGTGCTGGTATTACAGGCATGAGCCACTGCTCCTTGCCATGAATCAACATGTAAATTAAACATTTCCCCTAGTGATAAATTGCTAAGTCATTACTTTTTTCCATTACAACCATGCCATACTGAAGATCCTCATACATGTCTAATGGTGTGACCATGCCTTCAGGGCATAAACCTATAAGTGAATTGGAGTTAATACACATTTTCATATTGCTAGGTATTGACAGTGGCTGTACCAAGTTAATGCTCCCACATTAGTGGAGTAGTTTGTGAGAATTTCTGGTCCCACATCTTGCCAACATTTCCTGCTAGATTTCTTAGTTGTTGCCAGTCTGATGGGGAATAATAGTACCTTGTTTTGATTTGCATTTTCCTGAGGTTTACCATTTTTTCATAGTTTATTGGTTATTCAGGTGTTTTTATCTGTGACTTCTTATTCATGTTCTTTCCTGTTTGTTTGGTTTTTAAAGAAACATCTAGTAGCCCTTATATACATGAATACTAGCCTGTATTTAATGCCTTAGATGGCACTTAACAAACCTGGCCTGCGTTTCCCTTGAGTTTACTATTTTAGTCAACACACCTATACTCTAGCACTAATCAGTCAAAACTATTTTAGTTTAACTTGTTTTCTCTGTATTTTAATTCATGCTGTTTTAAGATAAATCTGATTTTCTTGGGCTGAAATTACCATGAAACTGACTCCAACATGCATTGGTTTATTCATTTTCTAAATATTTATTATTGAAATACAGCATTAAATGACCTTATTGATAGCAAGAATCCTGCTAAGAGAAATATGTTGACATTTGGACACTAGGAAATCTGAATTTTAGATGATACTCTAGCAGCTGGAACTCTGACTCAGTGGGCACTGTACTTTAATTATCTGAATAGAAAGTTTGAGATTTAAAAATAATTTTCTCTCCATTATTTAGGTTGGTCACAGCAGATGTAGCTTTTTACACTGGAAATCTTCAAGCCTTAAAAGGCCTTAAAGATTTGGACCTAAATATGGCCGAAATTTGGGAACAGAAGAGGTGATACCATACTGGAAAACTGGGTAGTTCATCTGACCATGGGATGTGTTTGTTATGAAGAAAATCTGGATGCCTGTGATTTGAGAATTGAACCTGAAACCCAAATTGAACTGGGGTGGGGGAAGGGAAAAAGCAAAGTATCAATGTTGGGAAAGTGGATTCAGTGGGATCTACAAGGAATGTCATTCTTGTGCATCCTACAGTGAGGAGTAACTGATCAGGTGTCTATGACATTGTTCATTCTCTCTGGAAACAGACTCAGGTTTCTTTGGACCAAATCCAAAAGAACACATAGCTGTAACACAGCTGTAGTTGACTAGAATGCTCTGTATACTTTATATTAAAAAATGCTCTGCATTTCTTCCAGTGCAATGAAATTCATATGGTGTCCCACCTTATTTAATGATGGTACAATTTAAAATCTTAGTCAACCTCTGTAGAAAGTTTTCTCTATGAAAGTAAAGCTGTTTGAAAAATTATTTTTTTACAGATCTTTCTATAAAAAATAAACATCTTTTGATTGCTTGGATTTAGGAACTCAATTTTTGTTTTAGTGACCAATGTCAAGTTTCAGGCTTTCTGTGTTGCATATGAATATTTCTACTATCACCGTATGTCAACTAGGTAAAGCCTTCCAGAGCTGTCTAAATACCTGAAAGACTGATTACAAGTAATACTTAAAAGAGTAAGATACTAGCATCTATTTATGCAACTAATTTAAATTAAATACTTTTCAGAAATGGTATATAAAATACTACAGTTTAATATCTGTATTTTTATAAAAGTATCTATGAACAGTTGGGGTGTTTTTTTTTCATTTCTAGCAGAGATAAGAATATGTATTCATATAATCTGCCTACTTTTGAGTTCTCATTTTAACATTTAGATAACATATGAAGTATGGCCCCCCTTGAATCCTTGTTTTTAGATTACTTTGGATGTGTATACAGACGAAGACCAGGGAGAAACAGAACTTTTAAAATATAGCCTGCTGTGTTGGGGCCAGAAATAAAGTGACAAGACTTTTATAATACCTACTTTCAAAATTAGAATCAGCAGCACTCTACAAATGAAAGTGCCTGTGTCTCACCTCACACCGAGAATCTTGCCTAACTCTGTCAGAGTGCCTAATATCCAGTGGTGATTATGTACAATGAAACAGTCTTATTTTGTGCTCTTCAGTTTCTTAAAAGGAAAGCTTGTTTTCTTTCCTTTATCATTACAGAGGTATGTCTTTGGTTCTTAAACTGTCTAAAATAAAGCTGTAAAAAATTCCCAGACTTTAAAAGGTAACTTTTTAAAAAAATGATATATAGTGAACTTTTAAGTTAAAAAAGCAGCCTACTCAAGTATGGATGAATTTAAAGAAAAGGCATAAATTGAATTACCAGCAGACCTGATTGGAAAGATTAATGATCATTTTTCAGTGATAATAAGCTTCAAGAAATGAAGGTTCAGGGAAAGGGAACTTTTTATGAAGCTATACCCCCTACCTCACTCTAGAGGAGTACAAGGATGTGAAAATGCCTTCCCTTTGCCCAACCCCATCAGCTGGGAAAATAAATGCCACTTTGTTCAATAAATTGCGAGTCTGTGGAAAGCATGGCAGGCATCCCAGCTTTAGAACTAGATGAAAGGTACTAAATAACTTCAGTTTAATTACTATGGAAAGAATGGTATGATTAAGATTCTTAGAAATGCCAAAAATGACTCTCTAGGTAACTAGCCAGTGAGTACTTAAATATTCCAAGAGCAAATCTTCCAACTTATATAGCAGTTGTCTAGCAAGAATAAACCATTTTATTTCACCATTTCATAGTTAGCATTATAAAGTACAAGTGTACACAAGTATTGCTTCACTGCTTTATTTTTGAAATCACAAACATCAAAGTGACCATCATTGAGGCTTCTGTTAAAAGATCTTCAAGAGTTGCCCCAGTTTTAAGATTAAACAATATTGCACTTTAAGATGAACTAAAACTTTTGGGATCCTCTTCAAAGAAGGAAAGTATTGCTCCATCTGTGCTTTTCTTAGACTAAAAAGCATACTGCAGAAAACTCTACTTTAAAAATCAACACTGCCAGGGTACAGTAACATAGCAAAGTACCTGCCTATTTTAGAATCCTAGAGAACATTTCATTGTAAGAAACTAGCCCATTATTAAAGTGTCCACAGTATTTTTCATTTCAGTGGTCCAAGATGCGAAGGTTTCCAGATACAATCTTGTTCTCTAATACTGCTCCAGGTGGGATGTCAATTCTGTCACCATGATTTGCAATAATGATAACAGTTCCCTAAGTGACAGGGAAAACAAAACACAAGAGTGTACTTGCAACTGCAACTGAAATGCAATTTGATAATCTTACAATGATCAAGTTTATGTAGAACTCTTTGTACAGTGGAGTAACTGTATTTATAAACAATATTAAACATGAAAAACAACAGTTAAGGAACATTGTAATGTGTTCTTCTGTAACAATCCCGGTAGTAGTTCTAGGTTCTCTGCCTCCTTGTCAGAGGTGGTACGCAGAGTAGGAGGTGGACCCGGTACCATAGCATGAGCAGCCCCCTTTTGAAGGCCTACTTGCAAGGTCACCAGCATTAGCCAACCTTCATAAAGAAAGTAAAAGGTGGCCGGGCGCGGTGGCTCAAGCCTGTAATCCCAGCACTTTGGGAGGCCGAGGAGGGTGGATCACGAGGTCGAGAGATCGAGACCATCCTGGTCAACATGGTGAAACCCCGTCTCTACTAAAAATACAAAAAATTAGCTGGGCATGGTGGCACGTGCCTGTAATGCCAGCTACTCAGGAGGCTGAGGCAGGAGAATTGCTTGAACCCAGGAGGCGGAGGTTGCAGTGAGCCGAGATCGTGCCATTGCACTCCAGCCTGAGTAACAAGAGCAAAACTCCGTCTCAAAAAAAAAAAAAGAAATTAAAAGGTGCTTGGTTTATATTTACACATAGGGCTTTTGCTGTTGTTTTGTTGTTTTTATAACAGTTTACTGATAAGATTTTTCATGTCTTAAGTCTTTAGGCAGTCTGTCTCAACAATAAAATTTAATATATGTATTTGTTTCTTCAGGATCTTCTTAAAATTTAAGTAAGCAGCTTTAATGGGAAGAGTACATGAAATCTAGGAGATTTTTTTTAATTATATGATTTGGAAAAAGCTATGGTATCTTTAGTTGTGAGTTTTAATACTTATATACCCCCATTTGTCTCCTATTTCTTACATGAGGCTGGAATGATACTCAGTACCCAAGTACTACAGTAATGTAAATGAATATTCTTACAGTGATAACATTCCTTTAATATAGTATATTCAGTACAAATGAGGTTTTTTCTACTTTTATTCAAATAATCATCTTTAAGAAGCTAATGCTAATAGTGATCCTATTTTAGAGATTCTCATTTCAGTTAAATAGTACCAGCTTAATTACTACTGTAGATTAACCAAGTATTCCTTAAAGTAAATGTGAAAATGACTAGAAAATTAGACTTATTTTGTAAAGCTGTAAGAAATACAATTTTCATTGTAACAACATACCTTTAATGAAACATTCTTTCCAAATGTCACATCTCCTGAAACTGTGAGGTGATCCAATTCAAGCATATCTGGTATACTTTCAAATCTTCTTAGATAATCTTGAACCTTACAGAAAAGTAGAAACATAAACATTAACAAGAAAGTTTAACTGAAGTGTAAAAACATTTTATGGCCACGCTATGGGAAGCTTCCTATTTATTAGGAAACTTCCATGCTTCCTCTATGGGAAGCACCTATTTATTAAGCACTCATATGCGAGACGCTGTGCGGGAGAGATAGGAGCTACGAACATAGTTTCTATACCAAGCAATGTACAATATAGTTGAGCAGATCAGGCTTAAAAAAACAAAAAAGATAACCAACATGCCAAGAGCCAGATGAGTAGTTTACACAATTTGAATTTAACTGAAAAAAGAAATCATGCATTTCAAGCAGGCTAGACTGGGACTAGGCTTTAGGGGATAGGTGGGATTCTGAAAAATTTTAGGAAGAGCAACAGTACAAACTATTATAAATTATCACTATCTTTGTCTTTTTATTTCCTTAGATTTGCAAGCATTACAGATTGTCCTCTGTGACCCCATTACCTATTTTGCTGGGAAAGTAGGAGCAATCACAAAACTTCCACTGGTTTCCATCCACCACCACCACCTTGCCCCCATTGCCCATTCCCCTGCCTTCCTAGTACTGGAATTGTGCATCAGATCCCTTCTTAAGGCCCATCAACTGTTGTTTCAGCAATTCTCCCTCTTCAGTGCTTTTTCCCTCCTGACTACATTAATTTCCATTAATGTATAAACATCCTCCCATTAAAAAAAAATAAACAAAAAAACAAAAAACCTCAAATCCTATATTGCTTTTCACCTATAGCGCCATTTATCTGTTTTTCTTTAAGGCAAAACTCTTGAGTGAGATTTCTGCATTCGTATCTCCAATTCCTCCTTTTTCATTCTCTTAAGTCCATGGCTGTGAGGCTCCCTAACCTCCATACTGATAAATCTAATAGTAAATTCTCATCTTACTTGAATCATCATCAGCAGCATTTGACAAATAATTCCCACTTTCTTATTTTCTTCATTTGACTTTGAGGATACATGCATTCATAGTTTTCTACCTAATTCCTCATCTGCATTCTACACATCCACAGCAGGTGGCACCAAACCACACCCAGGACTAAAATAGAGTTGGATGGCAGAGCAGGACCTCCCAGTCCAACAACAAAGGCTCAGTGTCACATTTCAGCAATCATGTGATTAAATTTTTTGGATTTCACTTAGGCTAGGGTGGAGTTTTACAGCAGGGCCACCGATAGTGCTGTTTTGTTCAATGTTATTTTGTTATAATATTAATGAGGGGGGAAAAAAGATTCCCAGCCAGGGCTACTGTCTGTGTGGAGTTTGCATGTTCTCCCCACATCTGTGTGGGTTTTCTCCAGCTATTCTGGTTTCTTCCACATCCCAAAGATGTGCATGTTAGGTGAACTGGCATGTCTGCATGGTCCCAGTATGAGTGTGGATGTGTGTGAGTGTGCCCTGAGATGGGATAGTGGCCTGTCCAGGGTTGCCTCCAGCCTTGTGCTCCGGGCTGCCAGGATAAGCTCTGGTCAGCCCATGACCTGAACTGGAATAAGGGAGTCAAGAATTATCTTGTTCTTATTTATGTATGCACAGCTCACATTTATTTCAGTGTTTAATATTAGAAGTGTTTTTTTATTTTAAAATTTGGCGATATTTTTGTGACGAGAAATAAACTGTAGGAACTGAACTCCTGTTCATATCAATTAGCCTATGGTAAAATGTGTTATACATTGTTTTGCTTAATGTGGCCATTTCCAAGAACATACTGATGACAGTGAGGACTTACTGTACTTGCTATTCCACCTGCCTAGAACACTTTTTGCAGTAGATACTCATTTGTCGGACCCAATCGACTTCTCAGTGAGGCTGCCTGTAACCACTCAATGTGAAATCACACAATCTCCTCCCCACCTGAGGCATTCCCTATTCTCCAGCCATGCTTTATGTTTCTCCATAGCATTTTCACCACTTGGCATACCATACATTTACTTACTTATCATATGTCAATTCCATGAAGACCAAGATGAGTCTGTTTTGTTTGCTGCTAAATCCCTAGCACCTAGAACACACTGCCCAGCACATGGTAGGGGCTCAATAAGTATTTAAGCCAGAATTAACCTTTTCCCACTGATCAAAGCAATATCAGTCTTGGAAGAGACATATGATAAAATGCCCTGAAATTTAAAGATTATTTTCTACTCCCCATGGCAATCATGTTTCAAATGTGAGGTAAATCTTTATCTTCTATGGTAAATTCCCTTTAAAAGGTATCAAAGACAGAGGAATACAACAGTTCAGCAGTAGAGACGGTAATTAGTCTTCAATTCACATGTATATCATATCTTTATAATTACACATTTAAGAAATATGAACTCACATATCTTTATAGTTACATACCTTTGTAAAAGAACTGCCTAATTTAACCAAGGGCACTGTAGGAAATTCCCGCTTTTCACTCATTGTCAGAGATCCTGCATTAAGACTATAGAGGTTTGACATCACCAGCAAGAGATCTGATGTGGTTTTGACAGGCAGAAAACGGCTCCTTGGCACATTAATACCTAGAGAATTCTCAAAACTTTTGATGGCAGCCCCTACTGCAGTTTCTAACTGAATGACATTCAGGCCTCCATCCAAAGTCTGTAAGAAATTAGGGTTGGGGGAGTAGAGAACAGAGGTTTTAAGCACCTACAAATCAGTTCCTTGTAGGTTAATATTTGGGAAGTGATTTCAGACATCCATTGATGGGAAAAAATTTTTCTTTTTCTTTTTCTCTTTTTTTTGAGATGGAGTCTTGCTCTATCACTCAGGCTGGAATGCAATGGCACGATCTCGGCTCACTGCAGCCTCTTCCTCCTGGGTTCAAGCAATTCTTATGCCTCAGCTTCCCGAGTAGCTGGGATTACAGGCATGTACCACCATGCCCAGCTAATTTTTTGTATTTTTAGTAGAGATGGAGTTTCACTATGTTGGCCAGGTTGGTCTTAAACTCCTGGCCTCAAGTGATCTGCTGGCCTTGGCCTCCCAAAGTGCTGGGATTACAGGTATGAGCCACCGTACCTGGCCAGAAAAGAATTCTGAGAACTGACATTTATCAAACATCTATCATATGTCAAATTCTTACAGTCTTAAAACTCTTCTGTTCAGTAATATCACTTCCATTTTATGAGAAACAACCTTAGGTTCAGAAAACTCATGCAAAGTACTGATGGCCAAATGACCTATGAGTGTCAGAGCAACAACTAAAAAGTAGGTTCTCTATTTTTGAAGCCCAGTGTTTTTGCCACTACCACAATGCAGGGTCAAATAAGGGGCACCATAACTTGGCACACTAGAGGGGTGACAGCAGATTCTGGAAGACGAGGCTAGGAACTAGTCGGAAAAGGCAAAAAGGAGTGACCAATGGACTAGATGGGGCAGAGGGAGTGGGCGGTGGGGGCTATGTGTAGCCTACTATAACCTTAGGAACCAGGAAGTTTAATGGGCAACAACCTTGGCTTACCTTTGCATTCACAATAATTTCCATGTCAATGGCATTCTGCTCCTGCAGTCTTTTAACTGCTGCAAGAGAAATCCATAGGTTGTTTGTGTTAAATATTTTGAACTTTGATACAGACTTGAACTCATCAACATGTGCTTTTGGCACTTGAGCAATTTCCACCAGTCTCAGTTTGCCTTCATATTGAGTGAGTGTCCCGCCCTAGAAAGGCAGAAAATAGTGAGTGCCTCCACATCTGTCCCAAGTACATTTTTTTGTAAGTACAACGATAGTGATAATATAAAAAATATATAAGTACATTATGTAGAAAGAGTAAATTTTCATAAAAGGGACAATGAAATAACATTTAAATGCCCAACTAGAAGAATATTAAAGGTTTGGACAACTTTATTCAAAGGTTTCACATTTCAGATTTTTGCCATAAATATATATGAAATTATTTTAGTTAAAATTACTGATGAAGCTTATCCAAAAAAATTAAGATGATTTTGATACTATTTATTCTGGATTTATGATATATACTATTATGTCAAACAGAACTGAAAGTATTCCCCATAATATTGTCTCACCCTTTCTTATGATACCAAGTGGTTAAATGTGTTGTTTAAAACAGAAACTTTCAAATAAAAAAGGTTTTAACTTTGTAACTTATGAAATGTGAAAACATGAAGCTCTAAACTGCTTCCTCTCAGTATTTACCTTTACATCTGCACGTGTTTTATTTGTGACTTCCATGACAAATTCACAGCGTTTTCCATTGGGTGGGTTCATCAGATGATTAAGAATATACAGATCCACTGTGGCACCCAGATTATCTATGTTAGACACAAAAATATACTCTTTGCCTTCTCCTATAAAGGTATCAAGCAAACCAGAGTTGTAGAAACTGGCGTAAATATCACCATGACCTGGAGGGTACCAAGCTTCTGTATTTTCCCCTGAGTAAGACACGTCCTTTGCTACAGGAAGTAAAGATTCCTTATTAATCCTCGGGTACCTTAAAAAAAAAAAAAGTTAGTTTTCAATATTGACCCTGTAGAGCATTTCAGACCTTTAAATAAAATAATGCATTAAAGTTAAATAAAATTTCACTTCAGAGTCTATCAGTAAGTTAATTATAAGTGAATCCATCTAAGAAAATCTCTCAGTATCCGCGTTGTCCGAAATCTGTTTTCTAAATGGTGATAGCTGTTGCAAAAACAAGTCTCTGTGGTCATACAGATGAGAGGACCCATCATATTTTAAAGATATTAATGTTTTATGAGTCTCCAAGAGGAAGGATATATCAAGTAAATTTTCTCAAACTTACTTGGTTATGGGATTGTTCTTTTCCCTGAAAAACTATTTGAGAAAAACTGCCCATTCTTACAAATGGATATATTCAGGGGGTGGATCTCTTTCCTTCCCAGAAAATAAGCACCAGGTTAGCATTCTATGATGTCTGCTTCCCACCACTCGTGAAAACACAGGTAAAGCTGGTGGTGGGGCAAGAGGAAAACAGGAGCTAGCACTGCAACAGACTGAAGACCAGAAAATAAAGGCAAAACATCTGTGGTGTAAAGAAACATGGTTAAAAAGTAACCATGGGAAACAGATCTTAAAAACAACCAAACAAACTAATGGTACAACTTTAGAAATGTCCCTTCTTTTTTATTATTATTTTATTTTACTTTTTGAGATAGGGTCTTGCTCTGTTGCCTAGGCTGGACTGCAGTAGCACAAACATGTCTCACTACAGTTTCGACCTCTTGGGTTCAAGTGATCCTCCCACCTCAGCATCCCAAGTAGCTAGGGCTACAAGTGCATACCACCAATGCTCAGCTAATTAAAAAAAATTTTTTTTGTAGAGACAAGGTCTCATTATGTTGCTCAGGCTGATTCCAAACTCCTGGGCTCAAGCAATCCTCTCTTGGCTTTCCAGTGTTGGAATTACAGGCATGAGCCATCACACCCAGCCTAGAAATGTCCCTTCTGTACAAGTTCATGTGGACTGATGTCCATCCCTTAAATGGAAGCCTTATTTCTCCAGTTTCCTGGCCTTTAGTCACAATTCATCATCTGAATTTCCTTTTTACTCACTATTCCTCAAAGATTTTCTCTAGAATTTATTAAATTACCCCAAGCCCATTAGGATGTTGAAGAAATCCCTTTCCATAAGAAAGGTTATCAATAATTGTTATCATCAATATTTAGTGCCTGTATATCTTGAGACTGTTCTGTTATAAACAAGATCAGTCCTTTCCCAGGAGGACACCCAGAATCAAATTTTTACTCATTGTACCTGCTTTGATTAAAAGTGTAGATTTTCACACGACAATGATTGTACTTCTGTAGTATTTTTTTGGTATCTTCATCCGTGTTGAAAGAGTTCATTAAAACAAGAGGAACATCTGTATTGTAGGTTTTATTCAAATGCTAGGGAGGAAGATGACAATTAGATTACCCAGACTTACTTTTATTTGCTCAAAAATGCAAAATTCTTAATAGTTGTATCACAAATGTCTAAAACATCATCTGTATGTAGCCAAACATACAGATTTGACATAAAACTGCTCAGCATGAGTCAGACATTTTGCTAAGCAATTCACCATGTACTTGCTCATTAAATCACCACCCTCTGAGATAGCAACTACTGTCTGCATTTTACGGATGACTAAACTAAAACTCAGATAGGTGGAGGGTCTGGCAATGGCAGAGGCAGGACCCCCACCTCCCCACCCCAGGCAGTTTGCTGGAGCTTGTGTATAGCCACAGTGCTCTGTGGCCTTACTGGGTAGGCAAGTGCTGATTAAGCATTTACTCTACGTTAACATGTCTGTAGGGATGAAAGTACAAATGTGACAAAGACATGGCTACCTACTCTCAAGATTATTGGTCAAAAATTCTGAATCACACCTCGACTGAGATCTTTTCAATCTCAGAAGAGCTAAGAGGCAACAGAAAGTGGGAAGAAAACAGGGACTTAGAAGTCAGATTGCCTATGATAAAATTTTAGTTCTGCACTTACTAACCAGCTTTGGAACCTTGGGCAAGTAACCAATCTCCTTGTGCTTTGGTTTCCTCCCTGGTAAAATGGGATACCAGTACTTACCTCACAGAGTTGTTGAGAGGAACAAATGAGTAAATTCAATCAAAGAGTTCAGAATAGTACTTGGTGGTCAATAAGTGCTGAATAAATAAATGTTTACCACTGCTACAACCAGTGTTAGGATTGTAGCTGCCAGCACCGTTCTAGGCAATAGGGATAAGGAGATGGAAAAGATAAGGTCACTGCCCCAGAAGAGCCTGTGGTGTATGATTAATGACTTTGTCATAAGAAAGAAGCCAAGAGCAGTTCTTAGCATCCATGGCATGCAGCCAAATACACAATATCCTCCCCACCTTCCCAAAAGGGTTAACCCCTTTTTTAATGCGAGATCATCCCAGCCTTGATGAAGGCTGCCACTAGAAAGAAAGTGGATAGAGGGGCAGGGAGATCAAAAGAGAATCTCAACAGAACCAAAGATTTCAACATTTAAACAACCACAAATGCTAAAAAGCCTTTACATAACCTTAAGGATTTGTCCTTACGAACACTATACTTTTTTTTTTTTTACTTAAAAGTTCTGAGATACATATGCAGATTGTGCAGGTTTGTTACATAGGTAAACACATGCGATGGTGGTTTGCTGCACCCAGCAACCCATCATCTACATTAGGTATTTCTCCTAATGCTATCCCTTCCCTAGCCCCCAACCGCCTGACAGGCCCCCAGTGTGTGATGCTCCCCTCCCTGTGTCCATGTGTTCTCATTGTTCAATTCCCACTTATGAGTGAGAACATACGGTGTTTGGTTTTCTGTTCCTGTGTTAGTTTGCTGAAAATGACGGTTTCCAGCTTCATCCATGTTCCTGCAAAGGACATGAACACATCCTTTTTATGGCTGCATAGTATTCCACAGTGCATATGTGCCACATTTTCTTTATCTAGTCTATCACTGATGAGCATTTGGGTTGGAGGAACATCAACCTTTTTTGCCACCAATAAAGAGACTAATAAAGATAGCAAGCTCTTTGGTTAGCTGAAATTCCATCTGCTATCTTTTATAATATAACATTTATAACTTAAAAACTAAAAACTATTTTAGTATTTCATGAGAAGGGCTAAATGTTACTCACTTCAATTTGCTGAACAGTCAGATCCAGAAAGGTATTCTCATTCCTCACACCAATGAGACTTTTAGGGCCTTTGCAGCCCATGCTGGTTCCCAAACCACCATTGAGTTTCACCACCACTAGTTTGTTCAACACGGAAGATATATTATCAGGCAAGCCCCTGGCCTTTATCTTTTCATAGGGTTGAATCTGAAAGAAAAATAACATCATAGGAGTAATTCAAAGAGCTTTATGGGAGGTTAAAGCATATCAATCCCACCGTTATTTCCATGCTTCCATAAAGTTTTGGTTTCTCTGTGGAAAGTTTTAATCAACTTTTCTTTAATGTCAAAGACACTTCTGTTTCAAAATCAAGTACTTAACAGGCAACTTCCCTTGGAAACAGTAGTTCGGTGGATCATTTACAATGGAATACAAGAAGGGGGAAAAAGTTGTAGTAGCCCCCATATACTGGCTGGCTGGTAAGAACATCCAGCTCTCTTGGAGTATCTTCAAACACTCAGAATTCCTAATTTGCATCAACATAGCAAATGAGATACATAAAACTCAAGTCTAAATACTTCTGGTGTACTATGGCTCTCCTTCAATTCTGGACAACTATATATAAAATTACACATTATTCCTTCTACCTCAGGAGGCAAACCAAAACACACTTGTTCCTTGCCATTCTCCTCTATTCAGTCATAAGTTTGCCCTTCAGAGGAAGGTAGCATAGACTTTTTGTCAAACTTCTAGGTAGGCACAAACACGGAATTCCTTCCTCAAGAATTTAACTTTCAGATATTACCATATAAAAGCCAATACTGGAAAATTAAGTGTCGTCACTGTTCTAAAAATGCCCTGGAAGGGAGGGAAAGGACAAGAGGTGGGGCTGAAGAAAATCCCAACTCAATCTCCTCCCTAGCATCCTCATCTATTTCTGTGAGCAGAGAGCCTTAATCTATAATTTCTCCCTTATAGGAAAAAAACATTGACACAACTTACAGCGGGGGCCCAAATTATTTTCTTCAAAGCAGAGGCAGAACAAGCAAGTCTAAACAACTTACAGTAAGAAGGAAACCATTCACAAAGTTCACAATGTATTTTCTATCCATTTACATGACATGTTTGCTGTTATTTTGCTTTAGTGGAATAGGTCCTCAAATTGACTCTTCAGTTACATCAGGGTATAGGATAGCTAACACATAATGGACTGAAAAAAATAAAATTGCCCCATAAGTGCTTTGTGGAGGTTAGCTGTTACTTGCTCTGCTATTGTAGGACTGTGTGTGTGTGTGTGTGTGTGTGAGAGAGAGAGAGAGAGAGAGAGAGCGAGAGAGTGAGAGAGCGAGAGCGCGTGCAAGCAAGCATAAGATGGGTAGGTATGATTGGGAAAGAACTTGACAGGCGTACACTCTAGTGATCTAAGCCTATGGAGGCAAAAATTTTTTATGCTTGGTCAGACAAACATATATACATATGTTATATGTAGCCTCCTGATGACAAACTTCTTAACAGTTTTCCACATAAAAACTAGTCTGTGGCTCTTATTTCTTCTAATCTGCAATATACTATGTTAACTGCCAAGTGCAGATAAATATACTTTTTCATTTGATGTAAATACAGAGGAACATGAAGCACTCTTCTCCAAGGCTATTTGTTATTGCTCCAATCATCACTAATTCTCAATTATTTCCTCATGTGGTCAGATTGTCAATCTTCCTGGTAAGTGCTGCTAAGTAGCCTTCTAAAGCCATTCACATTCATGAACCAAAGTAAGCGCTGGTTACAGAAAAGCTAAGAGGAGGGGACAGGCCTGTGGGCACTCCAGTGGGTGCTACATCAATACTGGGATGTGAAACCGCAGAGAAAAGGAGAGAGGCTGTAAAGAATGCAGACCACACTGATCACTCCCCGTGCAGCACATGGTCCAGGTGAGGACAATGCAGGGCTGATAACAACTTGGCCCCCCAACACACACACACACACACACACACACACACACACACACACACACAGCACCCTGCAGAGTTGACAATCCTTGAAGGATGTTTTGATTTGACTCTACTGCCATGACCATCATTTGTTCAGCATTTCAAAGAAACTGGTAATATTGGTTAGGAGAGAAAAAGTTCCAATTTAAGTGCTACACTGTTAGAAAAATAAGAGATGACAGAATAGAAGAACCGTTGTCACCCTGATATAACAGAGTAGCTTATAATCTTTTCTAGCCCAGCAACTGAAAGCAACCAGTCAGTAAAAGAAATAGGCTGGAGGTGGTAGCACCTCTAATTCCAGCAATCTGGGAGGCCAAGGCAGGTGGATTGCTTGAGCCTAGGGGTTCAAAACCAGCCTGGGCAACATGGTGAAACCCTGTCCCTACAAAAAATACAAAAAATTAGCCAGGTATGGTGGCCCATGCTTGTAGTCCCAGCTACCCAGGAGACTGAGGTGGCAGATAGCTGAGCCCAGGTGGTTAAGGCTAAAGTAAGTTGTAATCATGCCACTGTACTCCACAGAATGAGACCCTGTAAAAAGAAGAGAAGAGAAGGCGAGGGGAGGGGAAGGTGGGGAGGGGAGAGGAGGGGAGGGGAGGAGAGAGGAGGAAAGGAAAAGGAAAAGAAAAAAGAAAAGGAAAAGGAAAGGAAAGGCCACTGTGATACAATGGCTGTAAGTAATCTATTATTAGTTTAGAAGAATTTCTTGGTCAGACAAACATACATACATAGGTCATATGTAACCTCCTGATGACAAAATTCTTGGAGGCTACATGTGACATATGTAATTTCAGTAGGCTACATATGACCTATGTATATATGTTTGTCTGACCAAGCATAAAAACATTATGTTTACTCAAAAGAGTCAGGAAACAGGACCAAACCAATTATTTTATAAAAGCCAATAATTTCCATTTAGCAGTTATTTTTCACTTGCTAGCAAGAACTTCATATTTACAGAGGTCTCACAAGGATATGAAAATCAGCTGAAAAATCACCAAAAATTCCTAGTTTATGCATTCATTTTAGGTAAAATTGTTAGTTCAGAGATGGTCTTACCTATTTATGTTTTGACTATACTTTAAAAAAAAAAAAAAAAAAAAAGAGGACACAGAAGCAATTTTCCTACACATGGTAGGACAGGCCTGTCTTCCAATTTTACTTAAATTTTTTCATTGTGACATCAGATACATAAAAGTTTATAAAATACACATATACAGTTGAAAGAATAACGTTTTTAAAAAAGGAACACTGCCATGTATCTGTCCCTAATCACACTCCTCTTCTACCTTTAAGGGTAACCTTCATCTGGACTTTTATTCTATAGTTTACCACCTATGTGTTTAACAATATTTTACTCCATTTTGTCTCAAAACTTTTAAATAAATTAAATCATACTATAAAGTATGACCCATCTTGTCATTACAATATCAGGAATTTGAACAAGACATAACATTGGGTTTGTTGTTGATATTTGAACATTCTATTTCAAATAGAGGTAAACATTATCTAGATGTAATTTGGAGTGAAAATTTTCATGTAACATCAATATTTTATCAAAGTATAAATGCTTATTATAAAAGTAAAAATGCTACAGTGATTCTGAAAGCTGTTAATTTTACATACAACAATTAATGTTTTCAAATAGTTCAATAAGTTGGAAAACAGAATGACAATAAACATAAAACTCAGTACATTAGATAGAGATCTTTAGGAAAATATTCCCTTTTTGAGGGAACAAATATTTATACAAATTTAAATAATAATGCCAGGCAGAAAAGTCTAAATTAAATTACATCTTAATTCTAATCTTTACAGAAATGTTTGGTATACTAACATTCATAGCATTAAACAAAGTGAGCTTTAGGAATCATGTTTAATTTTTAGCTATTTAATTTGATTTAGGACATGAGTCACCAAGAAAAAGTGCTAACAGAAACTTTTTTTTTTTTTTTTTGAGACAGTCTCGCTCTGTTGCCCAGGCTGAGTGCTGTGGCATGATCTTGGCTTACTGTACCTTCCACCTCCCGGGTTCAAGCAATTCTCTTGCCTCAGCCTCCTGAGTAGCTGGGACTATAGGCACACGCTACCACACCCGGTTAATATTTTTTTTGTTTTTAGTACAGACAGGGTTTCACCGTATTGGTCAGGCTGGTCTTAAATTCCTGACCTCGTGATCCACCCACCTTGGCCTCCCAAAGTGCTGGGATTATAGGTGTAAGTCACTGCACCTGGCCCTATAGGAACTTTTGTTTACTGCCTGTGAAAATGAATTAAAAACTGAATGTCAACCTTGCTGCCTTAAAATTTCACCAGGAAAAAAAGAAATTCCAATTCATATGTCTTCATGCTAAATCAGCTTTGATCCACACACCATAAATAATAGAAAGTTTTAGCTGGGCACAGAGGCTCACATCTGTAATTTCAGCCCTTTGGGAGTTCGAAGCAAGAGGATTGCTTAAGCCCAAGAGTTTGAGAACAGCTTGGGCAATATACTGAGATCTTGTCTCTATAAAAATGTTGAAATTACCCAAGCGTGCTGGTGCAGGCCTGTAGTCCCAGGTACTTGGGAGGTCGAGGTGAGAGGACTGCTTGAGCCTGAGAGGCTACACAAATATATGAAAAACAATAAAAGTGATTTATATAGACTTCCAACCTTTTTAAGCAGTAAAAAACAAAGGATCCTTAATATAATGCCCAAATTCCTAGGTACAAAGTTCCTTATAGAAACATGTTACTGGAAAGCTTTATTATAAATTTTAGTTACTGAAATTAAATGTGCTGCTTTTCTTTCCCGTATTTAGTCATGGAGACATAGTCAAAGCCTTTCTTAAGTGTGAAAACACAAGACAACGATCAACTCAACAATGCTAAAAACATGGTATCTGACTGAAGAAATATTTACAGAATGAAAAATAGTAAAGATAAAAGTGTTACGGCAATTATCAACGACAAATAGCGTGAGAAAATGATTTAGGAATCACCGACATTCAGTGTTTCACTCACACTTTTCACCTATTGGCTATGAGCTGAGAGATGGTGGGCCGCTCTCATCATTCTGCTTCAAAGACAAGCCATCAGAGAACATTTGCTTATACAACATGTTCACACAAGACGGAATGGCAATTATTACATTTTATATAGGCTGCTTGCACAAAAAGATAGTCCCAAAATTAAAACCAACAAAGCCAACATAGCAGGACTTACTAACAA